GGGAAAGTCGGCAAAGGCTCTCGGGTTCCGGGCTTGGGTCAGGGGCGGGTCCAGATGGCTTGAGTCTCAGGTGCCAGGGGCACCCACGTGGAGGTGTGTGCTCACTCATTCCCGCGTGCATTCATTCATCAAGAGAGTCATTAATCCATTTTCCATTCAGTCAGTAAATATTGTGCACCTACTGTGTGCGGCGGGAGATGGGCCTGGGTGAGGGATTGGGGTCCACTGACAAAGATCTCGAAAGTCAGGACAAGGAGTTGGGCTTTGGGTCCTTGGCAGGACGTGGGGCTGGGCTCCCAGGGCCCCGGGCATCTTGGGGCTCCTTCTCCTCAGCTGGGGTCCTTCTGTAGTTGGCGGCTGGACCACCAAAGCCCAGGACATGATTTTAATCGACACATGGGCACAATTTTAAGCTATTTTAATAGTTGTGTTTATGTAAATGTGTATTAGGAAAAAATGTATAATGGGCACATTAGTGTCATGATTTCACCAATGCTGTTGCTTAGGACGAAACCAAAATAGGCATTTAAGTAAAAAGACAAAGAGCTGGCTTGAAGAAAAATATTCAATAAATAATCGTGCAAGTGGTATGTGATTATGGTATGCGGACGGCTCAGGCAAAGGCCTTTCTTAGCCCTGCATAAGTCCATCCATCAGTCCCCCCGTCCCTCTGGGCACCTGTCGGGCAGACCGTGAGCCCCCGCTCTCCATCTCGTGGAGCCGACACAAGAAGGCTGCTCGTGAGGTGAAAGGAAGCATCGCCAGGCAGGCCCAGGCGTGGTCCCAGTGGCTCCCTACTGAGCGTTACTGGCAGGGGGGTCTTGATGCCGGGGGGCAAATGCATCTGGGAGGAGGGAAGACCACCCGGGCTGAAGGCAGGAGGTGCTTGGGTGTGCACGTAGAGGTCTGCCCCGGGTACCCGCACCCAGCATCCCTGTGTCCACGTTCCCCGGGCTCCTGTACACAGACCAACCCCAACAAGCCTGAGTTGGCGCTTGGTGCTAAGTGTATGTGCGCCCACTGGCCCTGAGCCCACGCTCCCAGGGCGTGAGCTGGTCTTGGACACGGACTGGCCTGCACGCGCTCGGTGGCCCGCAGTGGGGCCTCTGCCCTCTTGTTGGCTCACACCACGCCCTCTCCCCGGGTGCAGGGGGCCGTGGGGGCCCGAGCTAAGGGCTAATGCGCAGGCCCAGGCCTCAGGAAGTGGCGGCGCTGACCTCCCTCCTTGGCCGGCGGATGTGATGGGCGGTCATCCCTGCCACCCTCACCGAAGCCAAACTCTCCCAGCCACACACTTATCTCCCTCAGGTAATGGAAACGTCAACTTGATTCATGGGCATCCGTTCGCTGCAGCCAGGCCTGACTTGTCCTGTTGGGGAGGCTCATCCCTCGGGAGGAAGTGAGGACAGAGGAAAGCATCAGCGGCCGTGGAGTTAGTTCAAATCCTGAGACCAAATCACAGACCTGCAGTGGGCCCCATTCGTCCCCGAACCGCTCATGGAGGCTCTCCTGTGTGCCAGGCACAATGGGGCACCCGAGCCGCCATGGTGAGTCGGGAGGACACGGAATTTGTATTCCAGTGAGGAGACTGACTACTCAGATCATTCGAACAACAAAAATATCACTTCCAAGCGTGAGAAGTGCTATGTAAGCGAACAAGGGAAGGCCTGGTTTACACTGGAACGGTGAGGGTGGGCCTCTAAGGAAGGGCCACGCAGCAGGGACTGAAGGAAGCAGCAAGGGAGTCTGGGTATAAGCCACAGCATGTGCAAAGGCCCTGGGGTTGAGAGGAATGTTGTGTGTGGCACTGTGACAGGACACCGTGCTTGGAGCTCAAGGTGAGGGCATGAAGTCTGCTGCTGAGCAGTTGGTCTTCAGGGGTCGGAGCTGTTGGGGCCTGGGGGTGATGGCCAGGAGTGCGGCCTTCGCCTGGAAGGTTCCACAGGGAACCACTGGCAGGAGGATTTTTAGAGGAGGACACAGCAAGTTCCTCCAGGTTGTATGGGGGGAAGGCCTGGGAGATGGGGTGCAAGGCAGAGTCAGGGTGACGAGAGAGGGGGCTGCAGCAGGTTCTGGCAGGACTTAGAGGCTTAGGCTGCGGGGCACCAGGAATGAGCTAAGTCGCCCCAGTGCGGCTTGGGGATGGGTGAGGGAACGAGGCACACCGGGGCTCGACTAGCTGTTCTCTGAGGCTCCTGTCTGGGCTTTGATGCTGTGCGGACGGGGACCCCTTGGGCCACTCGGGGCCACGGCAGGAATCAGGAAAAGTGTCATCTGAGCGGATGAAGTGCGTGACCTCAAACCATAGGAACCGCGGTCTGGGGCACACGGCTTGGGGGGTGCTGGAGTTTAGCGCCACTCACCCCTTCTCCGGGGCTGTGGCCAGTGAACAGCCCTGCCACGGGACTGAGGACAAACTCAGCCCAGCCGGGGACCATCAGTCATGAGGGAAAACCAGTCTCCTCTGTGTGGGGATTTACTGCGTGGACAGACCGGAAATCCCGGTGCGGGACCTCTGCTCTGTCCCCGGCACAGCCCAGCCCGCGACACCCTGGTAATTGCTTTGGGGGCCACATTTCATCCTGGGCTGACACCGGCCGAGCCTCTGCCTTACGGGGAAGCTGGTGGCCGGGCCGCTGCCAGGACGGGCCGGGATGCAGGGGTTAGGGGGCGCCCTGGGACAAGCGGGCAGGGGGCTTCCGTGTGGGAGAAGTTCCACCGCATGAAGCCGGGCTGGCGAGCCCCTGCCCTAACCACCCCCTCCGTCCCCTCCGGTCTGATCCCCCTGGGAACGGCCAGGGTGAGTGTGGGCGGCCTGGGGGTGCAGGCCGGGCTGGCGAGCGAGGCGAGCAGCCTGCAGGGGCTGAGACCCCACCTCTGCTCTGAGGCCGGTGCCCCTCGTGGCCCAACTGGAGGAGGCTGGGGGGGTCGTCCCGAGGGTCAGGAGGGGCTGGTGGAAGGCGGGGCTGGGGTGCTCTGGGGAGGAGCCCGCCGTTGGGAGCTGGGCAGCCTTGGAACCCAGCTTAGCCCGAGGACACTGCACACCTGGGGCCCGATCGGTCGCCAGGGGCTCGCCACCCCCCCGCCCCCGCCGCTGGGCCCCACGGCACTGGCAGTCATGCTCGCACCTGTGCATGCTCCAACGCCGGCGGGCCGTGCAGGTGACGCGGGTGAGGGACGCAGGTGGGGCCCGGGACAGAGGGGCCATGGGGGCCCCGGCAGCCATGAGTAAAGGGGACCAGAGCTGCCTGTTCTTGCGGGGAAGCAGGGGGCTGTCCGGACCCGCGCAGCCAGCCAGATCGGAGTGGGCTCTGCTGTCCCACTCGCCGGCCGGGGGAGACCGGGAGCCTCCTGTGGGGACTCGAGGCGACGGGGCGGGGGAGGGGGTGAGGACGTGGCGGCAAACAGGCCCGGGGCGGGGGCAGCCGCCCCCGTCAGAGTGTAGAGACCGCCGTGGCAGGCTCCGGGGGAGCCCCGGGGGCCTTCTGCGGTCGTGGCGTCCGAGCAGGACTGTCTGGGGACCGACGAACAAACGCGCAGAGGCAGGTCCTTCCCACTGGCCGCACAGAGGAGGCGGGTCCCCCGGGGGCCAGAGGCCAGAGGCCGGCTCTTCCTCGGCCCTCTCGTCAGCTGTGGCTGGGAGCGGAACCCCACGCGGGGTGCCAGCCAGCTCCCCGACCCCACAGCCCAGTGCCGATGCGTGGGGTGGGAAGCAGGACGCCCAGGGCAAGGCGTCTGTCCTCCCACCGCGGCTGAGGGTGGGGACTGCCACCTTCAGCATGCAAAGGTCCCCAGACCGACCCCTGCCTCCTCTGACTTCCCAGGGAGGAACCAGCTCTGGGCGTTCTGGCCACAGGCTGGGGACTGCAGCCTTCAGGGGGACCAGGCAGGGAGGGGGCGCTGGGGTTCATGCCGAGGCGGGGTGGGACCCGGGGTGAAGCGGGGGGCCTACGCGGGACTGGTAACCGGTTTGGCTCAGTTGGTGCTTGCTTGGTTAAGTTAGAACCAACATTTACAAGTGCGATTTCACATTAAAAATAGATAAAACACCTGGATTTCTGGCTTCTCTTAAAGTCCCTGAAGGTCTGGCATCTCTGGACCACTGTCGCTGAGTTATAGCTGTCCCCCAGAAGGGGCGTGCGCTGCGCTGCTGACCAGGTCCCCCCGGGCCGGCTTTGCCCCCGGACGTCAGACCAGGCCCAGAAGCTGGGATGCCCTGCCCGGCCTCCCGCCCCACAGAAGGAACACTGAATGGCCTCGCCCGCCCTCCAGCGTCTCCAAGGCTGGCCCAGAGATGCTACCGCGGAGGGAGGTGGGGGAGGCTCTCCAATACCAGGGGGCCAGAGCAACTCTCCCCTCGGCCTGGGACAGAGGGAGGTGGGGTTTCCAAGGGGCCGTCCTGCGTAGCCCCAGGGTAATTGCTGGCACCTGAGCTGTACCCCAGAACCAGCCCCCCGCCAAGTGAACCCTCTTCCCACTCAAGGGCCGCTTCATCCAGACACCAATGCTCACCTCTGAAGGAAGCTGGGGAGTGGGGAACCACAGGAGACAGACCAAGAATCGGGCATCTGGGGGCTTGGCTTCTAGGATCCACATTAAGCCTAAGGGAAACCCCCAGGATTTCACCCCGCCTCAGCTCTCCCGTGGTTGTCCTGGGATTTGTGCGCTAATGGCTTCCGAAGCTGTGTGTTTTGGGCAAGTTACTCAACCTCTCTGTGCCTCAATTCTCTCATCTGTGAAGGGAGGATCGTAATAGTGCTGACCCCAGAGGGTTGTAACGTGGATTCAATGAGGTGGTTCCGGACACAAAATAACCACCATATATGTATGGGCTTCTATCCTCTGCCCACGATCATGCCCCCATTTGCAGGTGGGGAAAGGGAAGCTCAGAGAGGGGACTCACCCCGCGTCATTCCGCCAGCCTCCAGCAAACTCTGACTCCGTTCTGGGAGGCAGCATGGGCCCCCTCTGCCTGACCCCAAATCCAGCACGTCTGACCATATTCTTAATAACATCTTTTATTGATTTTGCAAGAGAAAAAAAATAGACATTTATTTTACAGTTAATGCCCGTACAGCTTTTTTCCCCTCCTAAATTACATGGCGCATACAATTCTTAGCAACAGCAGTGGAGGTTTGGGAGCGAGCGTGCGTGGTGGTCTGACCTGTGCCCCAGCCTCGCGTGGGGACAGAGAGCTGGGCCGTATTCAGCGTGGCGGTGGCACCAGCTTTGGTCCCTAAGGGCTGGCTCGATCAGCCCCCGGCCCCCCCGGGCCTCAGCTCTCCTGGGAGCCCAGAGGCCTCGGAGGCACTCGCCACATCTGGGAGGTGAGCCCGGAAGCCGGGGCCCTGGAAGCTACAGTGATGATGGATCTTCTCTGGGAGAAACAATTCCTTATCTTCACATCGGCCCCACGCTCCAAATGAAAAGCGCATTTGCATAGCTGCTCGGCCGAAGCTGCAAAGCTCATAAAGTATTTGCTGGGGCTCTCGGTTGCACAGGAACCTGCTTGGAGTACAGCGCTGCGGCGGGGCCGGGCTGGGCGCCAGGAAAGCAACGGATTATTTGGAACGAGAAATTACCCACCACTGGGAAACCAATTAGGTCCCTGATCCGAGCTTGTTACGTCGATGGAAATAGATACGTTCTGAGCTTCACTCGGCTGGGGGTGCAAGGCACATTTCCAACTCGAGGGGAAGCTGCTCGAAGCGGGGGTGCTGGGCAACGAGCACCTCGCTGCCTCCCTGCAAGGGCACCTGTGCGCAGAGGAGGGAGGAGCAAGCAGGAGGAGCCCGCGCTCAGACCAGAGGGAGGGCCGCCCGCCTCCAGGCAAAGTTCAAGTGGAAGGGGAGGTGGGGTTGTGGCCTGGTCCTCGGCCTGCCCCGCGTCCAGAGGGCATCTGGACGGGCCCTGCTGGCCGTCTGGGGTGTGAAGCTGCCCACCGCCATCCTAGGACGCGGCTCCCTTCCTTTCCTCCCCGAGACACCCACATCCCCGAGTGCGTCCGGGGCTGGAGCAGCCCTGGCTAGACATTGGGGGACCAGGGAACAACGCCACCCTCTCAGCCGGCTCCACCAGCCCCCAGATGAGGCAGGGGTGTGGCGGGGAGGGGGGTTGTTGGCACCTCCTCTCGGGCCTCCCCCGGCGCCCCCTCATGTGGGGGGGTTGGTGGCTGAGCCCTGGGCAGCCATGCTCTGCAGGGAGGGGAGGCCCCCCCCCGCCACCTCACCGTCCTGGCGGGTTTGTGTGCACAGGCGTGGGTCCCAGGAGGGCGCCCCGGAGCCCAGCGGCAGAGGGAGGCCAGGCCACACGCGTCCCCTCTCGCTCCCCTCTTCCAGCCTGCAGAGTCCAGGCTGCCAAGGCTGAGGACCGGGGGCGGGTGACACGGGCGCCGCCGGCTGGAGGACCAGGCCCCCCTCCTCTGCGGTCAGCACCGCCACCGTCGCGCGGTCTCCTTCTCGCTTATGCACGTTTTGGGGCGTAAGGCTGTCAAGGGAGAGGCCAGAGAGGAGGGCGTTACCCAGCCTCAGTCCCTGAGGGCCACCCCACACCCGCGGTTGGTGGGGGGGATGTGCAAACTGTCCGGGTCCCCGGCCTAGGCCACCGCCCGCAGCTCCCCCGCAGCCCCCAAGCTCGGCACCCGGGCACGCTGACCTGCCCCCCTGCAGCAGGCTCTGCCACGCTGTTCCGTCTGCCCGGCCAACTCCCCGTAGGTCTCAGGGTGCAGCTCAAACACCACCTCCTCTGGGAAGCCCTCCGCCCTGGGCATCCTCCACTGGTTTCCCACAGCACAGGGCAACCCCTTCCGTCTGCCCCCAAGCCGGGCCCCCAGGAAGCCACACCAAGCTGCAGGTGACTGCGGGAAGGGGGCCGCACGCTGCTCCCGGGGTTCTGCCCCCGCAGGCTCCCGGGACTGAGAAGGGGCTCCGAGGGGCAGGCAGGGGTGGGCGTGAGTGTGGGACCCCCCTGCCAGCTTGTCTACGCAGCCTGGAGTCCCGCGGGTGACCTCTGGGCAGAGCAGCCAAACTGACCTGGGTCGACCGCGCTCTGCTTCCTTTTCGAGTTGGTGATGATTTGGTTTTCATTCATCATCTGGACGTCCTGATCCTCCACCTGATTGCTGGGGGGAGGCAGAAGACAGCGGTTGGAGCCCTGCCATCTGTCCCCAAAAGAGCCGGCGGGGGAGGCGGCGGGCCGGGCGTACCTGATGGTGGTGTGTCGCCCCTGGCGGCAGGCGTCCGTGTCCTCGGTGAAGAGGATGGTGTGGTAGGGCACCGTGGGCTCACACGTGGGCAGGATGCCCCCCAGCAGGTGGCCCACCATGGCCAGGATCCCGTTGTACACAAGCAAGTCGTCCACCAGGAGCTGGCGGACACGGAGGGGCTGCACCGTGGGGCCGAGGGTCCGCCCTCCTTCCCCCCCCCCCCGCGGCCTCGGTCAAAGCGAGTTACTGCTCGGAGCCCCGCGGGCTAGCCCAGCCTGCGTTAGGTCTCAGGCCCTCGTGACCACTGCGGAAGGCACCTCCTCTCCCCGCCCCAGAGTCTCCTCCCCGAGGGAAGAGCTCCCTAGACCCACATGACTGGAAAAGAAAAGATGAAAGAAAAGCCACTTTCTGGTTTTCAGGGGGAGGATTCAAATCACTGGGGGCAGGTTTGGGATCCACGGTGGGATGGCGAATTTCCCTGCCTCGGAGGACCAGGCATTTGTGTGTAAGGTGGCAAGAGAGAGAAGTAAATCAAACTGCGACAAACGATAATTGTCGGCAGCCTAATTACCAACGAGCATAATTATCTCGAAAAACCCAGCTGATAAGTAAGTACTCACGCCAAACTCTTTCACCCCTCGATGGGGCGTTTTTGCGTAATTCCACAGTTTGATCATTGACACGGTGGTGGGCAGATCGAAAATCACATAAACCCGGTTCACCTGTCAGAGATGAGCACCCATGAAAACAGGCATGTTTGGAAACAGGCGCCGGGTGGGGCGGGGGGTGCGGGCGGGGGCGAGCCCCGTGGGCGCTGGAGGCGGCGCCTGGGCGGCTGGGGGGCCGTGGCGCGTGGGGTCCCCGCTGCCTTCCAACTCCCGGCAGCCCATCTTGAGTCCGGTCACGTGCGGCTGCGTTTGCAACAAACCGCTGACTGGCTCTGGGAGGGCCTGTTTTCTGGGGCCTGGCGTGGCCCTCATTTAAATACCCGCAGAGAACCGGGTGCACCCTTCCCTCTCCCCGGGGTCCGGCCAGACACCCAGCGCAGGGGCTTCCCTGGGCCGAAGCGGTAGGCCCCGGCTGCAGAGTCAAGGAGCACTGTCCCCCCACCCCGGGCGGGCAGCACGGCCTTGGCCCCGATCTGTCCTTTCTCCGGTCCTAAATGAGAAGCATAGCAGACAGGCCCCGAAGGCACTGCTGGGTAATTTCCAGCCCATGTCTTTGAACCTCCGCAGGGGGAGCGGGGAGGGGGTTGTCCAGATCAGTGGTAGAATCAGCCAGTAAGGTCAGACCTGGCGGCTTCCCACCCACCCTGCCGCCCCAACAAAGACTCTCCCATATTAGGGGGCCCCTTGCAAGACAGAACAGAGCAATGAGCATTCAGTGTGGGCCCCAGGCCCCGGTCTCAGCCCCTGGCCATCCCCCAAAGGCCTCGCAGGACGTCGGGGGTTGGAGGGGTGGGGGTGCTGCAGGGGGAGGGCCAGCCTTCCGGCTGTACCGTGGAAATGGTAAAGGTCCTCCAGCTCAGCCGCCCACGGGGCTCAGGCAGATACAAATGTTTGAGTCCGGCTGGGAGAGTAACAGCTACAAAAACTGCCTCACACCAAAGTCACTGAAAGATGAACACCTGCTGGCCAAGCTCAAGATGGCAGCGGACAGGTGGCGCCCCGGTCTCAGGGCTCAGAGACCTCGGGGTTTCTCCTTTGCAGGGGCGGGGCTGGCGCTCAGGGGAGCTGATGGACGCTCGGGGCTCGGGGCGGGGGGGACACTGAGGAAAACCTCCCACACAGAGCTGCTGATGCTGCTCCTTTCCGTGTTTTGAGAGGAAAATAGACCTCCCTGTCCTCCTGCCCAGTCACGCGGAGGGAGAGGGGACACTTCAGCGGTCACACGCATGCCTGGTGCTACTGCACTCCTCTACCCGGGCGTCTGGCTGGCGCGGGGCTAGAGCCACCTGTCTCCACCCGGCCTGTCTCCTCTCTCTCTCTCGACCAACATCGGCCAGGCCTGGGGGGGCGAAGGCCCCCACCCCAGGTCCCCAAGTGACAAGGAGGACCAGCAGGAGGGTCTGAGATCTGCGAAACGGAGTCAGTTGAGAGCTGACAGGCGGATCTGGGGTCAGAGGGAAGGCCGGGTTGGGGTCCAGTGCCTGGTGACCTCGAGGTCCGGGAGGAGGCAAGGGGATGTGGCCAGGGGACCGGGCTGCCCGTGGGGACCGACGGACGCCTGCAGCATTGGGGCTCCGGGGTCCCGTGTGGGACCTTCTCTCTCCAGGGCGCTTTGCAATAACCACCCCAAGTGCAAAGGGAAAGAACCACGCCCCCCAAAAAGTGCCCATCGGAGGTGTCAGCGAAGACCTGGGCCTTCCTGACGGCCCGCGGGCATTTTGATTCGTTGGCGATTCACTTGGCCTGGAAGAAAGACGTGTCACCGAGACCAAGGACACAAAGTCCCCCCGCAAACCCACCAGGCCGGGCAGGATGGGGGCCAGCCACATGTGCCTGCCGTCGCTGGTGTCATTCACTTGGTCGATGAGCTTGTCGGGGGTCCGGACGTCCCCGCACACGCCCTCCAGGGAGTTCACGCTGTCGGGGAAGGCGGCGATATCTGGGGAGTCTCTAAGCTGCCATAACCCAAAGCAGTGTGCTGGGCGCCGTGCGCCGCTCTCTCGGCCACCAGCCTCCTCGTGCTGACGGTGTGGCTCAGGGAATGCCGGGCTGGTGGGCAGAATGGCCATCTGCTGCTCGGGGCAGCCGCAAAAGTGGCAGTCAAATTAGCCATTGTGGGGAAAATGAGCACCAGGGCCGGCAGGGGTGCAGGGGTGGGGGGGGTAGTGGCCAGTGTCAGGGACAGGGAGGCGGCCAGGCTGGCACTCTGGGGAGTGGAGGGCAAACTTCGAAGGTTTTCTGTTGCGAAGGGGCTGAGGGATGGCTGGATACGGCCTTGGCATGGGGGCACCAGCCCGAGACTGGATGCACTGGGTGAGCCTGACCCGGCGATAGCTACTCGAGGGCTGGACATTATCGCGGATCTGGAGCAACCAGTTCTGGCTCTGGCTCTGCCTTCCCACCTGTGAGGTCTGGGGCAAGTCCCAGAACATCTCGGGGCCTGCTTCCTCATCTGTAAAATGGGTGTAAAAACCTCCACATCTCAGAATCGATGTGAGCAGGCTCGGTAAAATCGAATGAGGCTTATACCTCCAAGGAATCACTAATAACCATCAAACCCACCAGGAATCATTTATCCCAGGCCAGGAGGACGGTGTCACCAGGGGAAGGCAGAAAAGGATCCAACTGGAACCCAGGACCCCAGAGAGGTGCAAGGCAGGCTTTGGGGTTGGACCTGCTCTGGTGGGACCCTGTGGTGGGGCAGGGATCACGGGGCAAGGGCCCAGAGGGGTCAGGCAGGTGACATCAAAGATAGATGCCTGACAGCTCAGCGGTCGGAGCATTGTCTCTACAGCCAAATTCCCAGCTGTACACTCACATGCTGTGTGACCTTGGGCAAGTTACTTAACCTCTCTGTCTCAGTTCCTCACGTGTAAAATGGGGATGACAGCACTCACTTCACAAGATGGTTATGAGGGCAAATGAGGTACCACCAGACAAGCGCTCACAGGGCGAGCCCTCAGTCAATATTAGCAATTTGTTTTGGGGGCCTGGTAGAAGACAGTAAGGACATGTTTGGGGCAAAGGGCAGTGGATACTCAGGTCCAGCCATCATCACTGTGCATGACTATTGCTAATTTCTCAAGAGTGGCTGAAGACTGAGGTTTTCATGTGAAACCCCTTGATTTTTAAAAAATATTAGCGACTAAGCTAAAATATTTAAAAACTCAGTGGGCTAGCAGTTTGCGAATTCTGGGGGGGGCATTCCATGAACAAAGGGGTCCACGGTCAATAAATTCAGGACACGCTGGGTTGAATGCAGTGTCATGGGCGGCTCCCTGCCGGCCTTGCCAGAGTCTTTAGAACTCCAAAGTACTTGTGGTTCTCCGGAGGGGGGGTTGTGTGGCAGCTGGTACCCTCTCCCAAATGCCCGGGCCACAGGCCTCTCTGTCTCGTGGGACTCCTGCTCTGGATACCTTGGCCAGGGTGGCTGGGAGCCGCCCCCTGCTCTGCCCACCCCCCAAGGGTCAGCATCTGACCCGAAGCAGAGCCCACTGGCATTTTTAGTCCCGGGGTCGGGCTCCTACAGGGACATTTCCTCTCCTTCCCCCAACCCTCACGTGCTCCCTTCCGTCGGGGTGGAGTCCCCTTCTGCCTCGAAAGGATACTGTTTTCCGACAGAGGGATTTTTTCTCCCCGCTCATCATACAGCTCCAGGCCCGTGAGACCGATATAATAGGGATCACCCCAGCTGGTCAGGAGCTGCAACTGGAAAATGACTAGGGGACGTTATTAAGGAAAAACAGGCTTAATTTTCTGAGAACAAAGCAAAAGAGGGACAAAGATAAAATAGGGATATACTCTGGGGTGGGCTTCTACAGATGAATGAGAGGAAAAAAATCATTTTTGTTCTCTCACTGAGACTGAAGCCCATCAAAATATATGTGGCACCAGATTGTCTTGGATTTCAACTGCGTATGTGTGTGTTTTAAGAGTTAAAAACTGTCCTCCGAGCCCGGGAGGCAGGAGGACGGGAGGGGAGGGTGCTGTTCCCCAGGGGGCTGGCAGGACGAGAGCCATGTGCGTCACAAACTCATTGCGTGGTGGCACTGAATGACGTGACCAGGACTCAAACTGTCTCCTGCCTCAGTTTCCCTGGTTGTAAAATGACAAGAACGAAGTGCCCGTTCCCTCCTCCGTCCATTTCAAGTGTGCAGGGTCGGTGCGGGGGTGGGGGGATGGCTAAGGGGGGGAAATCCATGAGCTCTGGAGCAGCGGGAGGGATGGGCCAGGGCCGCGTGAGCCACCATTGCTGACCGCGTCCCACAGTCCTCAGCCCCATCCCCCACCAGCGCCCATCATGCCAGGGGCGGGCAGGGCAGGAAAGGTGGCTTAGCCACGGGCAGTCGGTCCAGGAGAACAGGCTACTGAGAGAGCCAGGCTGCTCATGTTCACTCACCTGCCCCGCCCCTTCCCAGCTCTGTGGCCTTGGGCAAGTTCCTTCGCCTCTCTGGGCCTCCGTGTTCTCAGCTGAGAAATGGGGATGCTCACAGCACCGCTGCACCGGGCTGTGGCGAGGACTGAGTTAATAACGCCACGCACTGTGACAGTGCCAGGCCCAGGGAAGGATCCAGCAAATTGGGGCTATCCTTGCTTCTATGTTCACCTCCTCCCTGCCTGGTTCCAAGGACAGCCCCCAGTTCAGTCCCTGGGGAGAGTTCCAGCTTCTCTGGCCCCTCCCAGCTGGAGTCCTGCGCTGCCTCCCAAAACTTCAGCCGGCCAGGGGGTGGGGTCTGGAACCCTGTCGCCGCCCCCCGCCCCAGCAGCACCCAGTGAGCCCAACGCCCCGGGAAGCCTCCCACCGTCCCCTAGGTTTCCCAGCGTGGCGCCCCAGCTCCTCGGCCGTGGCCTGCCCGGAACCCCAACACTGCTACAAGGGCCAAGCCCTCTCCTGGGGTACCGGGTGCGACCCCCGAGGGCCCGGGATGCACAGACAGGTGGGAGGAGGATACAGCCACAGGGCATCAGGGGCGCCTCGTAGTCCATGGTCGCCCGCTCCAGGCTTTGCAAGTCGAGCCTAAAAAGACACAGAACAGCACAGGAAGCAGAAGATCGCGATGACCCTGATGGCTGGTCAGTTATTCCCCCGGTGGTGGCGGGGTGGGGGGTTCCCTGGCAGTGGGGACCGACCAATGAAGTGTGTGCCCGCTGTGGAGTCCCGTCCCACCGCGGGGGACTCGGGCACCTCGGGCTTGTCTATATGGACTCTTCTTGCTTCAAAACAACCCCGGGAGGTGCGTACTTTTATAGCCCTGGCTTGCGGGTGAGGACACAAGCACAGAGAAGTGAAGTCACTTGCTGAGGGCCACATAGCTGGCAAGGGGCAGAACTGGGATGTGACTTGAGGTTGTCCGATTCTGGAGTCCGCTCTTAACCACCCAGCCCTCCTGCCCTTCCATGAACAAGGCAAGTCCACACTGTGCTGCGAGCTGAGCGAGACCCATGCCGGGGCGGCGGCCGGGAGGGAGCGCGGGGCTGGGGCAGGCTACCCGAGGGGGTGGTCTGGGAGCCGGCGCCTGAGCTAAGAAGGAGGCGGCCACACAAAGATCAGAGCTGAACCTTCCCCGCAGAGGAGCAGACAGAACAAAGGCCCTGTGGTGTGGGGCAGGATGGGAGGCGCGCAGAGAGAGGCGGCTGGAAGGTGGGGCGTACCCTGCAGGCTTTGACTTTGTGATCCCAAGCAAGTGGCTTCAATAGCGGGGCCTCAATGCCCACATCTGTAAAATGGGCACAATAACCCCTTCTTCAGAGGGTGGGTGGAAGGGCGCCCTGAAGGATGAATACAAAGCCTCCGAAGAGATCCGGCACTTGGGAGGAAGGGTTCTCTCCCCCTGCACACTCCTCCCTTGGGGCCTCTCTCCCTGGTCCCCAGGCCAGTACCCTCCAGGCCTTGCTGGTTTTCTTCAATTTCAAGGGCAACGTTATAATTAAGTTGCTGTTCTCAATGACTGGCCCAAGAAGTGATCCCAGCCACAGTGGAGGGAAACTCATTTTGTTTTGTGAGCTTGGCCTCTGGCATCTGGACATCGGTGGGGGTGAGGGGGTGGGGGGGAAGGGGGGTGCGATTAAATGAGTACACTGAACGTGGCATTTACAAATTGTTATAAACTTAATGCAGCTGAGACGGGGCCAAAAAATACCAGCGCACCCATGAAATGTTAGGCTCTCGTTTCCTCTCTTAGGAATCTTCCTAAACCAGGAACTCGGGACCAAGAGAGAGAAGGCCCTTCCCCGAACTGGCCGGCGGGTATTTCTGGAATGAACGCAGGCTGGAGCCTCTTTTCCCAGCAGGAAGTGCAACGAAGCATTAAAAAAGCTCAAGCACTCCAGACTGTGGGGAACCCAAACATCCCCAGACAAGGTGGGCACATCCCACGGGCTTCCGCGGAGGCTTGGCAGAGCTTTAGAAAACCGCCAAGTTGAAAAGCGATGCGTTTGATCATCATTTCAAAACCTTTAGGTAGCGACTTCAGAGCGATGCGTGAAGCCAGCAGCCCGGGGACGGGGACGGGGAGGGGATGCTCCCGCCGCTGCTCGCCCTCACCTCCGGGCTGGCTGGGGTAGCTGGCGAGCCTGGAGGTAGTCCACAAAGAGAATTTCTTGAGCGAAATCAAAGTGGCAGTTGCCCGGCCCCTTCCGGATGAGGAAGCCCTCCGGAGGCGAGACACACAGGCCGTCCAGGGAGATGTGGACGATTTTGGCCTAGCAAACAAAAGGAGAAACACGCCTGAAGAAAGGAGGCCAGCCAGCGTGCAGGTCAGCGGCGCGTGCCGATAGGTGCTGATGCCCGAGCAGGCCGAGCGTGATGGGGAGTCCTCACGGAGCCCCCAGGCCTGAGACATCGCTTGGTCTGGCCCTTCTCTCAGACCAGGACCACCTGGCCAGGTACCCCCCTCCGCACTCCGTGCCAGGCGCTGTGCTGAGCACTGGGCGGAGAGCAGGGAACCAGGCAGGTGTGGCCCCTGCCATGGTGGCCCCCAAGTTTCAGGGCTGCCACCTGACTTGGCCCAGCGCTGCCCCCCATCTGACCGGCCACAGTGGCCTGAGGTGGCACGAAGTGGTGAGTCCCTTCCTGATCTTCCTCCTCACAGCCCCAAGCTCGTGCTTTCAGGGCGGGTACTCCCTAGCAGCATCCTTGGCAGATTTGGGCCAACATGTTCCCCTGGTCTAGGACAGATTTTACCAGCCGGAGGCCAGGATCTACCAGTAAATCTCAAAGTCTGAACGGCAGGGTCTGGAGTGGCTCATCTGCTTCCCTTGGGCAGGGGGGTGGTGGGTGAGCAGAGAGGGGCAGTGGGCCAGCGCTCTCTCTCTCTGACTACACATTTTGGAATCGGGACTCCCTGCATCTTCGTGGTGAGCAACGTGGGCCCAACTGCTGACCAAACTGGTAGATTTTCACCTCCAGGCGATGCAGGGGAGCTCCTCCGTGCAGAGAGGGGCCCTGCCTGGGTCCCACTGCTAACTAACTAAGGCCCTTGGGGCCCTTCATTCCTTCAGCATTTCGGGAGCCCCTGCATGGCAGCTGGTCACAGAGCATGTAAGCCTAAAAAGTGTAGGGTAAATGGCTTCAGGTATGGCTTGATATGGGGACCCAAAGGCTGTCCTACATCTCCCCACTTGGCTTTGCTCAAGGCAGATTCAGACCCTGGCCCAAGGGCTGGACCTGGACAAACAGAACTGTCACGCACTGGTCATATGACCAGGGACATGGAACCGGACCAGAACCATCAGCGGAGACACCTGTGATTTTGCTGGCTCGCCTCAAAAGAGGAGATCCTTCTTCAGCAGGACATGGAGCTAGCCGTTCAAAGCTGGCAGCAGACAGAGCAGAGGTCCGGGAAGGCCCCCCCTCCAGGGCCAGCCCCTCCTCTAGGAAGTTCCCCTGACTTCCCCACACCTGTTTATTCCCTTGGACAGAGCTTCTATTATCACCTCCATCTTACAGCCATGGAGACTAGGATTTCAGAGAGGCTAAGCAATTTGCTCAAGGACACGCAGCAGAGATCTGAAGCCCCATCTCCAGCGTGTAGGGCCCGGCTCTAACCACACACCAGGGGCTGTCACCAGGGTGCCCAGAGGGCCTTGGGGGACACAGGCACCCAAGGCATCTTCCCGGGGAGGCGCATAGTTTCCATCACCAGCACTCTGGGATCTCCCCCTCCAGACTCTGCCCATCTCCCCACCTCCTTCCTCCCACAGAGGCCACTTGTCACCCGCGCCTACGCGGATGGCAGCCAGGCCTGGGAAGCGGGGGCTCTGGGTCCAACATTTCCAGGCAGCCAATCCAGGTCACAAGCCTTAGCTGGAAGGACTGATTCGCTCACGGGAATGTACAGGCCCAGAGACACGACTTGAGCCAGAAGAATGTGTTCTTAATGCCAATATATCTGCCTTTCTAAACGTGCTGACCTGACAGCACATTCGGGGAGATGCCAGCGCGGCCTGGGAGGATCTGTCGTCCCAGAAGGGGAGCGCCTGGGGGCCGCCGACTCCACGCCGGCAAACCCCCCCCCCCAGTTCTACGGGGCCCGTGGGAGAAACTCCGTGGCATGTGTGTGGTGGGGAACCACACCCGGGGCTCCCGGGACCCGAGGCTGAGGCCTGGCTTTGTCAACGGCCGTGTGGCAGAGGATGATGACCACCTTCCCAAGGGAGGTATTGGCCTCTTCCTCCTCACTGTACAGATGGGGAAACGGAGGCCCAGTGAAAGCAGGCCACTCGCCAAAGGTCACACAGCTGGCTGGGGTCAGAGCGGGGATTAGGACCAGGGCCTTGTGACTTTAGGGCCCCACCTTGTGGTGGGAGGGGATGAGCGTACCACAGTCCAGAGTCACACGAGGACAGGAGAGCCCACGCAAAGGGCACTTGTGGTGTTCTCCTTCTGCCGTGCAGCAGGGGTCCCCGCTCTGTCTCACCCAGCAGCAGGACAGAACAACTGGAGTGTGGGCTCTGAGCCCAGCAGATGTGCACTGGGGCTCGCTGTGTGACCTTGGGACGAGTGAACGCACTGTTCCAAACCCCAGTTTGTAATACCCTGAAAGCGGGGGAATAACACCTGCCTCCCCGAGGCTGGGGCGAGGGTCCCCTGAGAATGAATGGGTGCAGAGTCCACAGCTCAGGGCCTGGCCCCCAAAGCGCTCAATGAACAACAGGGCCCCAATCCACCATTATGTTTCGGGGCTGGGCCTGCTGAGGATGCCCGACCCCCAGAAGAAACAAAGCACTTCTGTGTCCCGAGTCTGCCCTGGGCTCTCGAGCCCACATTTGCTGGTTGCAGGAGAAGCAAATAGCAGTGCGCTCTCTCCCTGGCTGTAACCCCCCAGCTCCATTTGGAAAGTTCTGGAAGATTTATGCTCCTCTCCGGCAGCCACACCAGCCATTCATCAAGGTGCCATTTCCCTGACAGTGGACTGAGCACGGCTGCTATTCCCTAGCTTACCCCACGATAGGTGTCCTCAGGAGATTTATTGTAGTTCCAGAAGCGCAGGCCAGCAATGCTTTCGGCTCTGTCGAAGTGGATCGTGACCACGTGGTCCAGGCCAGGCAAGAAAGGAATCAGCCACATGTGCTCATCCTCCATGGTGATGTTCACTCCATCGATTAGCCTGCGAATAGTGAGGAGGGAGCAGTGAGGTGGGGCTCAGCCAAGACCTGTGGGAGAAATCAGAGTGGGGGGGTCTACACCTCCTTATGGCCCCCTGCACCCTGCCTGGCGTGTGGCCGAACTGGGCTTGTTAAACGGAGGTGGGACTCATTACAGCCACCGTGAGGGGCCACGTCTCATCTGTAAAATCAGACAAAATAAAGAAACTGGAAAAAGTAACAGTCTGTGCTGTTAAAGGTGTGGCAAAGCGATCATCAAGGTTTAAAATAAAGGGGGGACATGTGTCATCTTTCAGGACCCTTTAACCTGGGGATCCCATTTCTGGAATTGTTTTCCTCTAAGGAAAATATGTGCAACCTGTTGGAAAGGCCATCTGCATGAAGATATTCATTATAGCGTTGTTTATTTATATCAGCAAAAAAAGGAAAAAAAAAAAAAAACCCAACAACCGAAAAAACCCAAGTGGTCTCAAAATACAAAGGGTTAAGTAAATCTATACAGTTGTTAATGCGATAATCATGAGGATGATGCAGTGACATGGAAAACGATTTTAATGCTGGAAGATGAGGACAGGGGCCAGGAGAGACTATGCAAAAGTGAAAAACACATTCGTGTCAGAGAGAATGGAAGGTGGATGCTTTTCTCTACTTTCCAAACTTTCTGTAAAATGCTGTATTGGCTCTACGGTATTTATTTATTTATTTATTTATTTTTTCATGTAGTGTTCCATGATTGTATGGTACATTTTGGAAGAATTCAATTCCTTCTTTCTGGTGCCCAGTGAGAGAGATGCTAAGGCACTAGGGTGAACTTGGCAGCTCTTGGTGTGGGAAAAGCACAAGAAGGGGCAGGTATGTCTGTGGGGAGCTGGTCTGGCCCATAACCATCCAGCCTGGACAGCCTAGGGAAGCCCCCCACCCTTAGGAGGGAGCCCCTAGCACCTTTGTGTTCTTCTCAGCCGCTGTTCTGAATGAACTCGTCACCTCGCCCGCAATCCTATCCTGGCCAGTTTCTGGTTCTCCTGTTCTGAACATCCTCTGCCTCATCCTTCTCAACTTGGCCTGTGTTTGTCTCAAAGACAAACTGACTGCCCTGGACTGCCCAGCACACCGCAGCCCAGACCCCAGGAACAGGGGCCCAGCTCTCAGCTTCTTGGGTAACCCTTCCCCCCACTCCCTCCTAATTTCCTGGTGACTTTGAGGCTGCTGAGCTGGGAGAAATTCCTAGATGTAAAAATAAACTTTATTTTTTCCTTTTACATCTTAAAGTTCTAGATTTGGAATAAATTTTACAATCTAAGTGTTCATCCAAGGAGGTAATGTTTCTTTTTTTTCTCTAAAAGGCTGTTATTAAATTGATGGATGGTGTGTCTTACAATTGCTGGCACCTTAAAACTGAGGAAATTCAGCAATTTAAAACGGAGGTGTTTGTGGAATTAGGTTGACTACAGAACCTTCCATTTCCTTCTAAAAGCAATTACTTCTGTGTCCTAGACATGGGGCTGCCTCCATAGCAAAACTGCTACCCAATTCTGAAAGTAGGGAGAGTTGCTGAAGTCTTTATAGTCGATGGTAAAGGGAAGTCCCTACAGACACCGCTAAGAATATCTAGATATTTCCAGCTCTGTCTACAGAAAAGCCTAGAAACTGTGACCAACCCAGTAGCAATGAGCATCTCTAGTGGCTAGATTATGGTCTCTAAATACCACTTCCCGCTAGAAGGAACCAAGGCTTCTTGGGAAAAATGGCTGATTCCATGTCTGGAACAAGAAACATACAAGGGGAGCCTGGACTATCTTGTGACATCAGAAAGCAGAAAAGCTGTTACAGACTACTATTTTAAAAAAAGGATCCAGGAGCTCTCAGTATCTAAGAGCATCAATAAGATAAAAACTGCAATAAATTGAAACCTTTCAAACATAGTCTGTTTAAATCCATGATTTATGAACACAAACGTTTTAAAGTATGCCAGGGAGGGGCGCCTGGGTGGCTCAGTCGTTAAGCGTCTGCCTTCGGCTCAGGTCATGATCCCAGGGTCCTGGGATCGAGCCCCGCGTCGGGCTCCCTGCTCTGCGGGAAGCCTGCTTCTCCCTCTCCCACTCCCCCTGCTTGTGTTCCCTCTCTCGCTGTCTCTCTGTCAAATAAATAAATAGAATCTTTAAAAAAAAAAAAAAAGTATGCCAGGGAAACAATTTTTTATTTTGCAAACTGAAAAACAAAGGGAAAGAACCAAGCATTTAGACTGCCTTTCCTATTTGCATTGTACCTCAGGGTAACCAAATAATTGAAGAAAAATTTCTCTTTATTGGTGAAAAAAGAAAATGATAGGATCAGCACACCACCATCTTGCAACCAAGTGGATCTAGCCACTGAGCACTGACCGCCAATGTCACAAAAAGCTTCACCACCACACATTCTATATGTCCTGAAGGGAAATCACAGTGACATCCACACCCCCAGGTCATGTCTTGCCCCAGTGGTCAAACCTCAATCTGATCAGGCGTCTAGATCTAATGAACAATTTACAACACATACAGGGGCCTGAGGAACAGGTTAAACAACACCATGGAGATGCAGTCCAGACTCTGTAGGGCCAACAAACCTTTCTTCAACAGATAATTTGTAAGAAAACAATGAAAAAAGATGGAAGGGAACCTAGAGATTATAAGAAGCTTAAGAGACATATCAAAGAATCACAACATATGGATCTGGACCTCAAACTAACCAATCACAATGTATGGACCTTATCTGGACCTCAATTTAAGAAACAAACTTAAAAAAGGAAGATGAGGAGACTTTCAGGGAAGCAGGAACATGCTGGGTGTCTAATTTAGGGAATCACCATTAATTTTTGGGGGTGTAATAATAGTACTTTTCTAAAGTCCTTATTGTTTAGAACTACATACCAGAATGTTTAGAGATGAAGTGCTATCAGGCTTGGGAGTTGCTGTGATCATATAATCTGGGTGGAGGGGTTTGGTGATTGGGCGGGTGTGGATGAACAAGTGGGGCCGGCCATGTGCTGATCACTTTTGCAGTGGGAGCTGGGTCTGTGGGGTCCAGGCCTAAGTATATGGGTGATCTGCCAAGATGCGGAGTGCCGAGTGGTTCATGAGCAGACATGGACATGTGTGAGGGCCACAGTTAAGGGGCCCCTGAAGGGAAAGCAGGGAGGAAGCAGGTCTACCATTGACTGCAGGTGATCAAGACCAGGCCAGGGGTGCAGATGTGGTGTGGTGATCCCCTTCTACTGATAAGGCAAGCGAGGCAGGGGGAGACAGTGGAAGTCAGTGGTTAGGTGCATGGGTGTGGATCTCCCTTGGACCTCTGTTCAGATGACTCTGCCCTTCAAAACTAGTCTCGGTGACTTCTGGCCAGTTTTTAATCTTTCTGTAGCTCAGTTTCATTTGTAAAGTGGGGGCTTCTTCGGGCTGTTTGAGGTGTAAATGGATGAGTATCTCTAACCTGCTTAGTGTAGCCCTGTGTCTGGCATTTATTTGGGGCTCTAGGAATAGCCACTATAATTTTATTACTATCCAATTACTATCGTAATTGGAGAGGTTAAGAAACTTACTAGCTGGCAAGGGGCCGAGCCAGAATTGGAACTCTCATCCCTCTGACCCCTCTAGGCTCCTCCTGTTTACACCTCCAGGCAGAGCCCAGGCCTGGCAGCTGTCCCGAGCAGGGGGCCAGCACCCGTCTGCAGTGATGGGCGCATGGACTGATGCTATTATCCCAGGCTTGCCCTCTTATTGACTGGCCCCAGTCTGGGCTGATGAAATCAGACAAAAGCAGAGGAAAGCGCCCACGGCCACCCGCCGAGACTTCCAGAACCATCCCCTCCAACCATGAGCAATGGCAAGCTTTCAGCCCCCGAGAGGGGGCGTTGCTCATGCTCAGATGCAGAGCCGGCCCAGCAGAGGCCTGCCAAGCTCTTGCTGGCGTTCCAGGCCCTACGCTGAGCATGGTGGACACACAAAGCATGACTGTATCTGGGAGCAGCAGAACTCTGCCCACCGCTTCTGGCCGTGTGGCCCCGGGAGGGGGTCACCTCCCTTTCCCAAGCCTTGATTTCCCTTGACTCTAAAATGGGATAGACCACAGGGGGCGCCTGGGGGGCTCAGTCAGTTAAGCGTCTGACTCTTGATCTCAGTTCAGGGGTTGATCTTGGGGTTGTGAGTTCAAGCCCCGTGTTGGGCTCCACGCTGGGCATGGGAGCCTACTTAAAAACATATAAATAAATAAAATGGGAAGACCACAGGCCTCATGGGGTGGCTGGGGAAGGTGCAATAGGGAACGCTCTTTGATGTTTGACTCTGGAGTCAAAGATTCAGAGCAGGTCCCTGAGGCCCGGCTCTGCATCTGAGCCCGAGTGACCCCGCCTCTCAGGGGCTGAGAGTGTTCTGTTGCTCGCGGTGGGAGGGGATGGCTCTGGGGGTCTGTGTAGGTGGTTTCTTACAGACACTTACTTGTCCAGGGTCCGGGAGTCATCGGTGTACTCAGGGAGGTCATTTAGGTCTCTGGGGGAGGCAGAGATCTGGTGCAGGCTGATGGGCAGTGCCTGGCTGTCCTTGCCCACCACTTCCAGGCCCGTGAGCCCCAGGTAGTGTGGGTCCCCCCAGGAGGCGGTAAAATTCAGCTGAAGGCCTGTAACAGGAGGAAGAGTGGCCCATGAACACCAGAGGTTCCGGAGGAGGGCCCAAGATGGAGACGGGAAAAGAAGCTACCTTCAGCCCCTGCCAACTTGAAAACCCAGACTCAAATGAAAGTGTCTTTGGGCGGTCTCTCTACCTTTTCTCTTAGTGACCCTCAGGCCTGGGACACCGCTGATATTCTGGAAATGTCTGCAGGATGAATGGACCAATGTTGTTTACACTTGCACATGGGAGGCGCCTGGGTGGCTCAGTCAGTTAAGTTTCTGCCTTCAGCTCAGGTCATGATCCCAGGGTCCTGGGATCGAGTCCTACCTTGGGCTCCCTGCTCAGCGAGGAGTCTGTTTCCCCCTCTCCCTCTGCCCCTCCCCCCACCCTGCTTGTTCTCTCTCACTCACTCTCTCAGATAAATAAATAAAATCTTTAAACCTGCACATGGCCCTGGATCCTTTCTCATGCATCCACCACGTTGCCCCTCCCCCCAGCTTAACACCCTAGCGCGGCTTCCCGGGCTGCTTGGCCAACAGGCCTTGTCCATCTAGCTTCTACCTACTTGTCTAACCTCATCTTATACGAGGGGGCGCGGCTCCACCCAGATAGTCTTTCACTCATTCCTATTTCCATTCCTCTCTCCCGTCACAGGGACTTTGCCCATGCTGTTCCCTCTGGAACCCACACGGCCTAGTTGTGCTCACCCTTCAGATCCCAACTCACTTCCTTAGGGAAGCCCTTCTGACTTCTCTGACTTCATCAAAACTCCATCCACAGCCTGCCATGTCATCGTGAACTCTATGCCCTGGTCACCGCTGTGATCTTGTGACCATTTGGTAGGTGCCCGTTTGCCCTGCCAGAGGTGAGCTCCCTGAGGGCAGAAACCCCATCTGATCTGCTAGACCTTTGTGTCCCCAAAGCCTGGCACAGTGCCTGACACATAGCAGGAGCTCAGTCCAGATGGACTGTTTAAATAAGTAACTGCTTGTAGGCAGCTACGTCGATACAGCACGTCAGGAATGGACATTTTATACAAATTGGGCACTATCTCGAGACTTCTCGGGATTCAGGGTAAGGAAGTGTTTTATAACTATACCTCCATCTTTTTGCCCCCGCCTCACCCCTGCTCCATCAGAGACCATCTAGAAGTGACCCTCTGTGGTCCTGGGGCAATACGGCCCAGGTGAGTCATCCATTTGCCCAGAGAGCTCAAACTGAATGAAGCCCTTGGTCAGGTCCTATCAGGTATTTGGCTAGAACTTTTCTTTCCTTACTGGTCTCCCATTAGAGCAGGACTAAGCCTGAGCGAACTCTCTATCCTGGGAGAATTTGAGGCCTCTTCCAGCACCCTCCTGGGGGGCTGTGTTCAGAAGATTCACACCCTTTGCAACTTTCACAGAAGTCCGCCTGGATGTCACGTGGTCCCACCCAGTTGAGCTCAGGTGTGGAGGCAGAAGCCCAGGGAGGCCAAGCCACCCAGTCTCCCTGGAGATCGGCTTCTTCTCCTACACACCTGTCATTTCCAACATACGTTTTGTAACTCAGCCTCTGATCCTTCTGCTCTCCATGGTGCTCAGGCAGCACGGAGGACATCTTGGGGGCAGATGGAAATGACGCATGGCCAGCATGGTACCGGGCACATTCTAGCTTCTCACGGTACCAACAGCATGCAAAATGGCCACAGATTCTTTGCAATGTGACTCTGCTGCTTTTTCCATCCAGAAGTGGGAGTCCATTTCTCACTCCCTGAGCCTGGGCCACGTGATGTGCTTCAGCCAATGGGAGAGAAGCAGAGAAGGCAGGGACGGGCAGAGGACGGAAAGCGCACACGTGCGCCTCGCTGCACTTGGGAGTCCTGCCGTGGAAGGAGCCAGGCGCGCCTGGTCTCCCCGTCACTCGGGCCAACAGCCTCCCAACTGCTGGATGTGGGAGAGAAGACATCCGAGGTCATCTGGCCACCAGCCCATCTGCCAGCTGACCAAACCCGTGAGCAGGCCCAGGAGAGGCCAGTCAAGCCAATGAATTGTAAGCCGATCACGGATTAAACAGTGGTTGTGCTAAAGCCACTCAGGTTTGGGTCGGTTTTGTCTGCGGCAAAAGCTAATCAATACATTCCTTTTCATCCCAAGTCTGTGTTCAAATGTCATGTCCTCAGAGAGGCCTTCCCTTACCGCTCGCATTCAAATGGCAGCCCCCCCGCCACCCTGCTTCATTTTTCATCACAGCACCTGTCACTACCTGACAATGTATTCTCCATTCCTTTGCTTGTGTGTTTTCTTGTCTTTCCCACTAAGATGGAAGCTCCCTGAGGGGAGAGGCTCTGTTAACTCTGTGCACTGTTGTGTCCCCAGAGCCGAGAACAGTATCTGGAAAATAGATGGTCAATAAAAGTTGTTTTTCTTTTTAAATAAATGACGGATCAAAGAGTATGTATTCAGTTGACAAGCACAGGTAAATGAATCAAAGTAAGATCACTGAGTTTCACCAAATTCATAGTTAATGGTAAACAAATATTTATTGATCATCTACTATGTACAGAGCCCTGTCCTTGGACCTGGAGACCCAGGGGTCAACACATGGCAGAATCTCTCTGGGAGCTTCCATTGTAGTGAAGACAATCAGATAGGATAGTTCTACAGAGCAATGGATGCCATGAAGCCAAGAAATAGGGAGTAGGGAGAGACTGAGGGGAGGAGGGGGGTTGTGAGGATGGTGGTAGTGGTGGTGGGGGGTGAGGGAGGGCCTGAGGTGAGACCCAGCTGATGAGTAGGAGGCTGCCATTCCTCAGCATTCCTGGAAGAACATTCCAGGCTGAGAGGACAGCAGGGGCAGAGGCTCCAGGATGGGAACAAATCTGACCTGTGGTTAGAACCAAGTGATCAAGGGGGACAGTGGAGGGAAATGAGGTCAGAAGGGTGGGGCAGAACCTAGAGCACGCCATGAAGTCTGGATTGCCTTCTCTCTATGGTGGGGAGCCCCTGGAGGGTTAGACTTTGAAGCAGGGGGCTCACTTGAAACGCCTCACTCGGGTTGGGGGTTGGGCTCTCCAGGGAGACCAGGGAGGAGGCGGTTGTGATACCAGGTACGCTGGACAAGGGGTGGCCCTCCTGAAAACGGAGGGAAGTGGCCAGATGCAGGATCTGTTTTGAAGGTGGCAATGCCAGGATGCTCAGTGGCTTGTGCAGAAGTGAGGGAAAGAGACGATGTTTTTGACCCAAGCGACAGAGTGGCTGTGGGTACTGATCCCGAGAGGCAGAGTGCATGGAGGTGGAGGAGGGAGTGGATTTGGATGAGGCGATCGCTGTGAGGGAGAAATGCCACCTCCCCGGGGGGAAAGCAGGAGGGGCCCCCCCAGCCTCTCCCCGGCTGCCCCTTTGCTGGTCTGGCACAGGGAGCTGCAAGGACATCTAATTTGGGGTTGCTCCGAAAGCACCTGCTCTCCTGTTTGAGCTAATATTCACGTTCCATGTTCATTTTCCTCTGGTGTATCAATTAGTATTTATATAAATGGAAATTAATTTTGTTATTTCTCTCCCACGTTTCAACTCTCTCAGCTACTTTCTTATTCATCACTGCTGATATTTGCAAAATGCCCAAAATTAGTGTCATCTGCAAATTAGCAAGTCATATATCCCCTTTCAAAACATTAATAGGATTGGCCATATTTACCAACCCTGGCGCATCCCCCCGGGTCACGTTATCAAAGCGCTCTCCATTTGCACAGGCTGGTGAAGTGGGTTTAGGATTTTAGAGACAGTGGAGGGAAAATAAAAAGGTTCAGAGAAGAGCGAGTCGGAAATCACATGCCTCCAAAAGCGCATAGGATGCTTAGTCAGGAGGTTCTTCCTACCAAGCAGAGAAGCAGAGACATCGCATGTTCCTCATAGCTTTAAAAGGGGCTCTGAGCTCTGCTCCGGGCCATACTCCCAAAGGTATTGGAATACATTTCTGAGAAAGGTCAGAAGCTGGTTCAGCAGGAAGGACGTTTATAGACAGCATCTTTGGGGAAATCATCAGATGAAGGGGACAGTGGCTGCTTCGGGGCCAACCTTCCTTCCTTCCTGCCCTGGCTGTGGCACTCTGACCTCCACCAGAGCACAACTAGGTGGCTGACCCCTCGCCTTGGGCTCCAGGGATGGGCTCTGACCCAGGCCTGGCCAATCCGGGTTTAGCATCTCACCCCTGTTCCTGCCCCGCCGGGTGAGCCACGCTGATTGTCTTATGGATGGGCACATGACCCAAGCCAGGCCGGGGAGACCTGACTCTGGGCCGACTGTTGAACAATGGGAACAGAAGCTCTTGCATGGACAGGGTCCCAGTGGGAGAAAAGGCAAGAGAGAGTGAGACAGTGCAGAGGGCAGAAAGGAGACACCAAGGCTTGATGATGTCATTCGCACCCCTGGAACCGGCTGTATGGACGGAAAAGAACTGAGTGCTTGGGGAGATAAGGCAGGGGAAGCCTTAGCATGGTGCCTGTGCCGGAGATGAAACCAAGCCCCAAACCAGGCTCTCGCCAGCACTAGGCTGGTTCTAGAAATTCTCTGTTGTCTCTGAGTAATTGAGAGAAACTGAGAGAGTGTTCTGGAATGTAAGGAGCTGTGAGGATTCAAAGTAAGGCATCTTCCCCTCTTCTAAGAGGGAATTTGTCTTTGTGCAGCAAGGGTGGGAGAGATGGTTCTTGCTGGGCACATGGGCAGGCTTCCTGGGGAGGAGGGGCTGACGGCAAGGCCTCGAGAATGGGGTGCGCAGGATGCTGAGGGGCGCTGCCTGGGTCCCACGTCCCCCCCACCGTTTGACCGAAGGACTCATTCCTCCAGTGGAGGGGAGTGCTGAGGGCTGAGGGCTCACAGCTGAGTCCACCCACATGCACTGCCCTTGGCCTTGCCCCTCCCTAGGGGCAGCCTGCACCCGAAACACGTAGATACAGGCGTATAAAGGCCTGGGCCCCTCATCCAACTCAGGACCACTCTAAGGGGCCTTTGCAGCTCTGTGTGCAGCGGGCAGAGGCCTTGAGGTGACTGCACGGGGCCCAATTCCTCCCTCTACCATCCTGCTTGCTGCCCTCCCTCAAGAGCACGCCCCAGGGAACTCCAGCTGGTGTGACTGCGAAGAGCTGGCTGACAGAGCCTCCCTAACAGGGAAGGGCAGGGAGATCAATCAGCCAGGACCTCGGGGTCCTGAAGATGCCCCAGGATGCAGCACAGGTACTGGTGGGTCCGTGCACGGAGGGAGAGAGGCGCTGGCTAGAAGGGTCAGCAGGGAAAAGAAGAGGGCATGGACTCAGTGAAGCCCAGACGGGATCTGCTCAGAGGCTACAGGATCTGTTAGCAGCCGGCAGGCTGAACATACAACCTGTGTTTTGTTTGGCTCATATGGTGTTTTAAAATACTATAAAATTAGTCACCAACACTTAAAAATTTGAAGATTTCACACAAATATCCAGATTTCTGTCTTCTCTGAAGACCCAGCACCCTGGGCTAGGATTCCTGCCACCCCCGCCCCACCTGGAACAGGGAAGAGGCATGTTTTCTTTGTGTGTGCGTCTGAGTTTGAGTACCCTTCTGGAAATGCCTACTGCAGAGAGGTATCCCTCCTCCGAAGTGATGCGGGCCTGCCGGGGCCAGTGAGCCCAGTCCAGACTGTGTCAGACCCCACTTGTCCCGCAGCTTGGCATCCCTGCAATGTACAACCTGCCCAACTGTCCAAGGAATCCCTGCCCCAAGTGGCCATGACACACCCTGGCCCCTGATGGTCCTCCTGCCACTGGACACTGTCCCAAAAGAGGATACTCACAGATCCCATGGTAGATGCCTGGCTCTGGCGTGGTTACTTCGGGGGCAGGGGGACTGGATGGCTGCTCTAGCCCCAGGGCCTGTGCACAGGTTGGGGGAGAAACAGAGGGAAACGAGGTGAGTTTAGTGATACCCGCACAGCTGGCTGGCTGTTCTCCCAGATACTGTTATGCACCCTGAGCCCCAGGTAACCCCTCGTGTCTTTTCTTGCATTTTCTGCCACTGTGGAAGCTCCGTGACAGGTAACATGGGCAGATTCAGAAACCCTTGTGTGTCTGAGCCCCCGCCACCAGCTCCTACTGGTAGGGGAGGAGTCTGACGCCACCAGCTAAGGGGATCAGATTTTCTGGAATAGGGAAGGACCCAACAGATGTTTACCTAGGGAGCTGGAGGAAGGAGGGAGGGAGAAGGATCAGGAGGGAGGGATGGAGGGAAGGAGGGGGGACCAATCCAACCCGAGGCCTGGGCATCTGCATTTTTAAAGCCCCTCAGGAGACTGGCAGGGGAAGCCAGGATAAAGCAGCCCTGGTCTAGAGACAGTCACAGTGGGCAGCCACTCCCCACCATATACATTTTGCTCATTAGACCTCTACACCATAAGTTAGGGCAAAAGGGCCTTTACTATGTTGCAGACAAGGAAGCTAAGATGCAAAAGGAAGGGAAGCTGGTTTCGGAGTTTCGGTGGGGATGGTGTTTCGGTCCCAGGAACAGTGGCGCCCTCGGCCCAGCCCCTAGACACAGCCTCCTGAGGCCCTTGGAGGAGAGTGAGGAAGGTGGCCTGCCAGGAGCATCCACGATGCCCAGCAGCCTCGGTCACCAGGAAGGCTGCTGCCCTGGCACCCATGTGCCTTCTTTTGCCTTCCCTGGCTCCCTGTCCTCCCGGAGCCTCCTGGGACACTCCCTGGTGGGTGCGCTGACCTGGATACCCAGCCAGGTGGGGTGTAGCTCCAGCCCTGTCACTTTCAAGGGGGGAGCCACTGGCCTCCCAGCACTCGGGCTGGGAGAAGGATTCCTCCCTATCCCTCACAGGCTAGATGAGGTCAGAGACCCTTAGAAGCATTTGTTTTTTATTTTTGTTTTTGTTTTTTAAAGATTTTATTTATTTATTTGACAGAGAGAGAGACAGTGAGAGAGGGAACACAAGCGGGGGAGTGGGACAGGGAGAAGCAGGCCTCCTGCCAAGCAGGGAGCCTGATGCGGGGCTCGATCCCAGGACCCTGGGATCATGACCTGAGCCAAAGGCAGACGCCTAACGACTGAACCACCCAGGTGCCCCTAAACCTTTTTTTTTTTTTTTTAGATTTTATTTATTTATTTGACAGAGAGAGGCACAGCGAGAGAGGGAACACAAGCAGGGGGAGTGGGAGAGGGAGAAGCAGGCTTCCCGCCAAGCAGGGAGCCCAATGTGGGGCTCGATCCCAGGACCCTGGGATCATGACCTGAGCTGAAGCCAGACGCTTAACGACTGAGCCACCCAGGCGCCCCCCTTAGAAGCATTTGGAAAGTGCTGGGCACATGAAAGGCTTCAAGGTCAGCTCCCGACTGGAGACCCAGGGATCAAATCCAGACCACAGACGTGCGGTGGCTCATAGAAGGTTTGAAAGCATTCCCACTTAGTTGCCAACAGTTTTTAATTGGGACATTTTCCATAAAACCCCAGATTTCTGGCTTCTCTCGAGAAAAATCAGGACAACTATCAACATGAACTAGCAACTCCTGTCTGTCCTGAGAAGCAGGGGGCTCAAGCACCCCTTCAGTCTTGCACAACACTCTGCCTGGCCCCTGTGGGCTTTTACCTTCCAGTGAACACCGTGGGATCTGCACACCACAGCCTCATGACCTTGCCAAGGCCCGCCTTCTGTCCTTTGGCTTCCAGCTGTCCCCACTCCACTCCCCCACCTTCTGTAACCACCTCTTCCTTCTCCTTAGGGCCTCAAGACCATCCCTGGGGGCCCTGGGTCTCTGGATTCCTGGTCCTTCACTTGGACTGGCCCTTCCCCTGAGAGTCTTTCACTTCTTAAAAAACTGCTTTATCAAGTTAAAAACACAGACTTTGGAGTCATGCAATCAAGTTGTAGCCTGGTTACTCTCCTGCTGTGTGTCCTTGGGCAAGTCACTTAACCTGTCTGAGCCTTGGTTTCCTAAATGGGGATATTGATGGTCTCTACCTGCAAGGGTGGTTCACACGGTAACGTGGTGCTCCACCACTGGATTGCCCGACGTGTGCAGGAAACGATGCCTGAGATGATCATTATTTTAATTCTAAGCCTGCCTATTAAAAGCGTTTCCAGTCCTTCCCATCGAAACCAACAGTGAGTGATCAAAACGCAACCCAAAGCAAAAATTCCCTCGAGACTGCCAACCTCTAAATTACGGAGACGATGCAGAACTGATTTCTCCTAGCTTTGATTAAAATTTGAATACTTTCTTCACTTCGCTTAAAAAAAAATAAAAAAATAAAACATAATTAGAGAATGAAATATGATACAGAGGACCAAAAAATGAAGTAGAAAAATGGGAAATGTCAAAACAGTAGCACTAACAGCTTAAAGGCTATCCATCTTCATTTCTCCTGCTCCTTGTGGAGTCAGGAGGAGAAATCTCTCCAGGGGGCTCCCCTCCCTGCCAGTCCTACCTGGTCCTCAGCCCATGGGCCGGCCTGGGTGTAGGGCCTGTCCTCCCCTTCGCTGCCGGCGGTGCTCGGCCTCCTGGGCGTCTCCTCACTCTGCAGACTGTAGGGGCTCTCCGCATCCACGTCAAATGTCTCATCCAAGCAGAATATGGCCTCCAGAATGTCATCGTCGGTCGTGAATAGGATGGTGTCTCCAAAGTGCTCTGGGGCTGGATGGGATACCACGGAGACCAGAAGAGTCAACTGGCCCCAAATCCCCATGGTTTGGAGAGCAGGAACCCAGACCCATCAACCTCTGGGCTATACAATCCCCACCCACCGACAGTTGCTGATTTGTGTTAGGAAGCCTTTTTATTAGTCACACATTTGCAAATGAAATTCACATGCCCTAAGAACCACTTAGACCTAATGAAGGGAGCTAACCTAATGAGAGTCGCTGTGATCCGTCGTGAAATGAGAGCTGCTTCTTAGGTGTGGGGGAGGCACCTTCACAGATGCTGTTGGGCCCCCACCCGGGTGCCTGCCGATCCCTTTTTGGGGGCTGGAGGCTTGCCGGGAAGGGCGTGGAAGTTACACCCCCAACCCAGGGAGCCCTGCTGCTCTGCCTTTAAGGCAGGACAGATCCTGCAATTTATGCTCCAGAACTCCCTTTGGGATCAGGCTGAGACTCAGCCTCCCTCAACCCCTAGCATCTCCCTGTTCCCATCCTGTCTCCCTCCTTGCACCACAGCCTCTCCCGGGAGCACCCTTCAGTAACTCGCTCGCAGAAGAATTCCCCCTTCTCTGACTCAAGTGCTAGGGAAGCTGAGTAAGGCCGGTGCCCAGGGGAGGAGCTTAAATGAAGTCAGCCCTTGCACCCCTATGCTGCAAAAAGTGAGGAGTGAGCCAGGCCCAGGAAGAGGAGAGACCCATCTGTCACTGGCTAGCCAGGGCCTTTAGTTTTTCCTCAGAGCCTCAGTGGGTAGCAGGTAGGGGCTTCCAGAACATTCTTACAGACATACTCTACCTCCCGTCAGCGTCCCCGAGGCCTTGGCGATTTCTCCTTTAAAGATGCACTGAGCGTCTAACAGCATGGTGATGTCCTTCACGCCGCGGAAGGAATGTATCCGAGATTTATTGTAGTTCCAAATCCTGATCAGGGCGACTTGGCAAGGGCACACGAAATCTATGGAGATGGAGTGGGGCTTGCCCAGCGTGAAAGGGGCCAGCCAGACGTGCATGTCGTCCTGGGTCCTGTTCACCCCGTCGATGAGGTTGGTGACCACGCGGGGGTCTTTCCCGTAGGCTGGTAAAACATTGATGTCAGGGGGGTCCGCGTGAATGTTCGCGATCTGCACTGGCTCCCCCTCAGAACTGAATATTTCTATTCCGTTAAGGCCGACATAGTGCCTGTCCCCCCACGTCGACTTGATGTCGATGACCAAGCGCTGTCCATACGGCAAGACGGGGATCTCAAAGTCGCTCCCGTCGTGCGTCTCTGCGGAGCTGTCCTCCGGCCCTCTCCTCGGCTCCGGCCTCTCCTCCTTCCCCGGCGGCAGCTGGTCGCTGTGGCGGCTGCCCATCTGCTGTTGCAGGAACTCGTCCAGGATGTCCCCCTGCAGCTCCATGTTGGAGATGCGACCCCGCTGGGAGCGGTCAAAGGCACTGAGGGAGTCCCAGGACTCGTGCAGCATGTGATCCTGCTCACTGCACCACCGGGACCGCGGCGGCGTCTTGCCGGACCGGGTGTCTTCTGGAAGAACACAGGAGGGGTGAAGCCCCATTAGCGGCACGTGTGTGAGTGGGGACCTTTACGGAGGGGGCTCTCGGCTAGGTGGGGTCGCCCTCAGGGGGACATTCTAGAAATCAGGGGGGTTGCTCCTGGCTCTGTCTCAATGCCTGGCCTTTGACAGGTGGGGCCAGGATGTTAATCTCTTGCCCTGCATGGGGACAGTCGGGGCCTCCCGTCACACGCCAACATTCAGGTGGGTCAAAAACTGGTCATAGCTACCCAAGTCTAGAATCTGGTTGTTTTGCAAAAAGCAAAGCAGTTTTCAATATACTTTGGCTTTCCTGAGAATGGGACCCCCATGCAAGTCAAGGGCAGACCTTCTGTTGCCTGAGAACCTGCGCGAGAACCCGTCCTGCACGTCAGAGGCTCCCACGACGGGCGGGGTGGGGGTGGGGGTAGCGCCTGAGTCAGCAACCAGAGGGGCTGCTTCGAGGCTGTCACATCACGTGACTCTGACAGTGTTTTCAAAGACTGCCTAACGGCAGGTGGAACATTCGCAAAAGAATGTTCGATGGGAAAAGAGCCAGCTACGCTCTTTTGGCTGCGGCAGACCCTGGTAGGGGCGGCGCGCACCAATGTGTTAATATGCTCCTTTCTGGGTGGTGAGGAGGAAGGACTTCCAGCTGCTTCTTGGTCACCTGATCTTCTAAGTTCCCCAGATGTATTATTTTTATAATCAGGAAAAAGTGCTATAAGGAACGCTGACGACACGGGTAAGGAATGTACTCCTACGTGTGGCTAGGCTGGCTTCGAGAACAGAAGCCTGCGTCCCCAGCACATGGACGGCGCGGGCCTGGCCCTCAGAGGGCTGGCTCTGAAGGCCGCAGTCTCCTCCTCGTAGAACAGAAAAGCCTCAGCCTGAGCCCCCAGCACTGGCCTGGCCTCACAGCCACACCTCAGCTAACTGCCACGTAAGGGTGTCATTCTGGAAAAACAGCAGCTGATGACACTGACGTTCTGTTTTTCCTCCTTTCATACCGGACTGTGCCCTGCACTCCATTTGCTGCCTGGCTCCTAGGGGGCCTGGCTCCATCAATTATCCTCTCTCTCCAGAACCCTCCATCACCCCTTCCCCGCTGGCACCTTGCCCTCTCTCCGCCTGCAGACACACATAAATCTCTCCTACCGGAAAGAAAAAGGAAGCGGGGCCTGATCTCGTGGCTTCCTCTAACCGCCACCCGATTTTCTCCCTCCCTTGGCTGCAGCCCCTGCGCCCTCCTCACTCCCACCCTCCCGCAACCCCTGCAACCTGGGGCCTCTTTGTGGACTTACTGGTTTGGCCCACCCAAGCCCCACCTGCCCTTCTCCTGATCTTCCTTTGGGGATCCCCCACCGTCAGACCATCCAGATTAGGCAAATGCTGACAGCGTCCTTCCAGGCTGGGAAGGGAATTACGGAGAGGGGCTCTCTTTAGACTGGTGCCCCTGGGTGGCAGGATGCCGGACGTGGGTGTGCAGTGCTGGTGGCCAGTTTGCTACCCTGGGGGAGGGGGGGAGCCTGCCTGACAATGAAGCCAACACAGATAATGTGGGTCAAGAGACGGAGAGAGAGTCATTTGAGCCCCTGGATGCAGCCATGCCTGAAGTCAAACCCCTGGTGGTGTTCCATCCCTTGCCTTTGTAAGAGTCCTGTAATTCTCACAACCCTCCACTGAGCTGCAAGTACACGATGACTCCGAGTACTCAATCTTTTCTCAGTCCTCATGCTTGACATCCCAGGCGAAGCTCTTCCACTAGACAGTCCCTCCTCTGCCGGCTCAGGAGCGTTTGCCCTTCTGGGCTCTCCCCTGCGGCTGCTGCCCACCTCCCCATGCCGGGGCCCTACCCCATCCGGTCCTCTCAACACTGCCCTCCCTCTCTGACCTCACCCCACCAGCTCCTGGTTGCCATTTTCTAGGTCAAGTTCTGGCTTCTCTCCGCTCGCCACCACCTTCCAGTTCCAAGGACCCCTCCGGAGGTCCAGACATATCCAGTGTGTGCCTGAAAGGGAATTTGTCACCAACTCCTCCAGTCGGCATACCGTCTCCAGCTGGGGGTGAAGAACACCTAACTCCTCGCCATGACCCCCCAGGGCCTCGGTGGGGCCCCTCCCGCTTCTCTAATCTCACCTCACACCTTCTCCCTAATGATCAGCTCCACTGTGTGGGCCTTTTGTTCCATGGACACAAGTCTTCTTCCTGCTTAGGCTTGCTGTGCCCTCTGCCAGTTATGCTCTTCTCCCGGATCTCCACGTGAGGGCCCTTCTTGGCCCCCTCCTCCTTGGGGAGGACTTCTTTGCTCTGTTCCCTGCTGCGTCTCAGGGCCTGGCATAGAACGTGGTGCACAGAAGTGCTCAGTCCACGTTTGCTGGCCCAGGGATGGCTGGCTGGCATCACCATTATGCAACGCCTGGGAGCCGAGGGACTCCCCCCTCCATCTGTCAGCTCTGGTGCACCTGTCCTCTCCCCTCCCCTCCTTCTTCATTTGCCATTAAAAAAGACCCCAGGAGTTCCTTCCTTTCCTCCAGGCGTGAGGCTTAACATCTGGCAGAAGGAACTTCCCATATGGATTGTCATGACATCAGTTTATTGGGATTTGATTTCCACTGACTGAAATGAACGGCCTGGGCTGGGCTGTAAGGGAGCTGAGGAGAGGGAACAGACATCATGTGTCAGGGACTCAGCCTGTGTGTCTCGGCCTGGGTGGGCAAGAAAGGCAGGACTCTGCTCTCCTTCTGCTCCTGCTTTCTGATTTTTCCTCCCCAAGATGTACAGTCAGGGTTTTGAAAGCAGAGAGGTGCAGGCTTTCTCCTGGACCTCTTGGATGTGACAGCAGGCTGGGGGCCCCCGTTTCCCTCTGTCTGTGGGAGAACACACCATTCATGGGGGTGGGGCACTAGGATGAGATGACGGGATTGCAGACTTAAAACTATCCCTTGGTGGAGGTAAACAGGAACTATGAAGTTCGAAACTCAAGCTTGTAAAAATCAACGGCACCACCGTGAGGTATATACTAGTTCTTCCTAAAACAGGAAACGAGACTGAACATAGGGAGACACAACAGAGCCATGTGTGTTCAAGGTGAACAGCCCTCCAGCCTCGGCTGATTGGACAAAGGGCGGACACCTGACCCACGTCAGCCAATCAGCGTCTCCCCTGAGACTTTGGGAGCGAGAGCCGGGCAACTGTCACTCTTGGTAGGTGGGGCACCTCCTGCCCTGTGCACAGAGCACGGAAAGCTGATCTCATGAGGAAGAGTGAGGGAAGGTGGCAGAGGCAGGGCCCAGCAGCCCTGGGGAGTCAGGAGGGAGAAGTCTCCTGGGCGCCCACTGGCTTTCTGCTTCCTCCTTCCAATTTCAGGTGACAGGCAGCCACACTTCCTGCCTCTGGAGGTCCTGTGCTCAAACTGGGCAGGTGCAATTTTATTCACCTCTAGCCAATGGACCCCTGATGCAGACGCTTCTAAAATGCAAATGACATTACAGTGAGATGCTTTGTTGGACAAAAGGATTTCCAGGCTCTATCCTTTGGGGACAACACGACTCTAGCCCCAGGGAAGAACTCAGGCAGTCACTCATTCTAGAAGCATATTGGAGGGCTTGGCCCTCACCTTTCCTGAAGGGCATGGCTGTGGGATTTGGCTCTATGTAATGGGTAATTTAAAATTTCTAAGCAACTTCCCTTTTTAGCATGACTGGCTTAACAAGCATTAAATCTCCAGGGCTCGGTTCTCAATGTGTCATTAAGCCAAGCAGTGAAATGCCTGGAAAGAAATGAAAATGAGACCAAATCTTCTGAATGTGGACAAGTTAGAATAACACCCATCACCTCGGAGTTCCCAGAGGTTCTGTGGGTCTGTTTACCAGGAAGACTCATGATCACCTGGCTCTCCCTGGTCGGGTGGCTGCAGAAATGGGGTGCCATAGGGTAACTAGTTCGATGCATGGATACTGGAGCAGGATGGCCTGGGTTCAGATCCTGCTCTAACCCCTTCTGGCCATGCAACCCGAGAAAAGTTACTTAAACCTCACATTTTCTTTATCTGTCAAAGGGGGCTGGCATGAGGATGAAATCATTTGAGTAACATGCCTGGATGAGAGAGAGCCTAGCTTAATGCAAACGTGCCATGCATCCAGCCACCGAAGTTCCTTCTTTACACCACCCCTCCCACATTGCAGAGGACCCACCACGTGTCGGGCATCTGGGTCCTGGGGACCCCGATACAGATAAGACACAGTCTCTGCCCTCAAAGCGCTTCTCGGTTCTTCTGCTCTGCTCTCCTCCCTGACACCCAGTCTCAGGGTTAAGTCCGAGTGGGGGTGGGCAGCAGAAGTGTGTAAGCCTGGGGAGCCCGGGGGGAAACTCTGCCTGGAAGAAGAGAGCCTGTCGTTTATGCGGAAAGGCACCCCGTGTCTGAGGGACGTGCCCCGGTGCCCTACGTGACCTCGGGGTTCTGAAAGAAGCCACCAACTCTCTGCATGTCTAAGCGTAGAGTTGGGCTGAGTGCAGACCTTTGGGGTCTGTCTTCTGGAGAGTAACAGAATAGACGCTGACCCGATTCACTAGGGAATATACCCTGGCTTCCCATACAGATACGCCAGGAGGCAGAATCACACAGTGGGGGGTAGGGATGATGATGGACCGCGGCACCTAACACCTGCAGCTAGCACTGTGCCAAACGCTGCACACACATGACCTCATTTTATCCTCCCATGAGATGGTATGCTTGGTGTCCCTCCACAGGCCAGTGGTTTCGGTGGGGTGGAGTTCCATTCAGAGGCCCTAGGATCTGGTGCTTGCGGGGCACTTCCCATACGCCAGGCTCTAGTTATATGTGCCGCCATCCTCTTATTCCTTCCTCACAGCACTGAGGATGGGGGGGAGGCGGTTTGTTCCCATTTTACCGCTGAGGACGCTGAGGCTCAGAAAGGGGATGTGCCCAGCTCCGTAAGTCCCAGCCTAGAAGCAACAGAGGCTGGGATCAAATGGTCTGACGCCTAGCTGCTGGGCTACGCACCTTCCCAGGAGCCAAATTGGAGTGCAAATATCTAGAAGCCCAGCCTTTTAGATTGCTCAGATATGATCGACTGCAAAGTTCACACACCAGGTGAGTCCTCCCAGCAGATTCTTTTTTTTTTTTGACCTACATAGTAGTTTTAGAAATACTCTCAATCCATTGCCAATAATAAATAATATTCTACACTCCTGATTTCTCTCCTTAAAAGGAGAAGGGAGGCCTGGCACATCGGCCTTGCATTGCTAACTGCCAGGAAGCATTCTGAGTGCGGGAGCAGCTGCCTGTTTTAGATGGGCTGGCTCTCGCCAGCGCCACACTCCTCACCACTCTCTGTAGTACTTCCCACGCCCAGGCAAGTGCCAAGTGCTATTTCTCATCGCACTTGTGTTATTTTTCTGATGGTACAGTTAAGAATAAAGTGAAGTCATTAGACACCAACGTCTCCATCAGAGGTGGAATAGCAAAGCCTAGATTGGAAAAGCCACGTGGCAAGAAAAATGGGCAAAGGGGACATAACTCGGTGGCAACAACAAATATATCGAGGACTTTAATGTGCAAGGAATGTCTTGCCCATTCTACTCATCGCTGTCACCTCCGTGGCCCCCTGAGACAGTGAATTTGTGACCACTGTTTGAGAAGAAACCCCATGCTTTGCAGATGAGGAAACAGAGGTCCATGGAGCCAAATGGTATCATGCCAATCAGTGGCCCGGGCTCGGGGACGGTGGCACCCGGGTCAGCCTGCTTCTCGAGCTTACCTCTGCTGGTTGGCGGGCCATCGCTGTGACTGCTGATGAGGGTGTCCTTCCTCGGGCCCCTCCTCCCACTAGCAGGGTGTTCCCTGTTGGAGGGCTGGTTAAAGATGTCAAAGTCATCACAGACTTTGGGGGTCACCTTCTGGGCTCTCTCTCCAGTGATGACATTCCAGCTGCGCGGCCGCCCTGGCTCACGCCTCGGGCCTTTATCCCCAACTTCGACCTCTCTAGAAGCCTCCCCCATGGTGTCCGTGATGGCGTCTGATACAAGTCTGCCTACCCAGTCCAGAGGCTTCTCAGGACTCAGCCAGAGCGGTTTGGGCTTCCTGCCTCCCTGCTTCCCACCCTTCCCTATGGCAGAAGGTTGCAACCACGATGGGGTTTTCGCTGGCGGCTCGGAGACTTTTCTGCTCGTGAGGTTTTCCAGCTGTTGGGCCAGGGAGAGCTCTGGGTCAAGGGGAGGGCGTTCCACAGGCGGGCAGAGCGGGGGGGCCCCCAGCATGCCCCCCGTCGAGGCTAGGGCTGCTGGGCAGCTTGCATCTTCATTCAACTTGGACAAGCTGTCCTTCGTGCAGTCGGGAGGATTCATCTTTCCGCCAAGTAACGTTCCTTGGGAAGAAAGCTTCACGTCGGCTACTGCTGCAGCTGGCGGCGCGAGTTCCCCATCTGTGCCAGCCATCTTGTGGGCCTCTCTGCTTTCCCCCGAGGGGACACCCAGGGCCCTTCCCCTGCTCTCGTCCTGCTCCTGTTCCACGCTAGCCGGGATGCTCTGGTCAGCTGGGGCCTCTCCACCTCCTTTGTCTAACGTGCCATCGAAAATGAGACTTTCATCGACGTAAAGCTTCACGTTCTTGGCACCGATGTCAAGATCCTAAAAACACAAGATGGAACAAAATGAAGCTGTGTGGCATCAGGCTGATGCATCGAAGTTTGGAAGCAGGAGATAGAAAAGAAACATGTGGGATGCTAGAAACGTGAGCTTTAAAAAACAACAACAAAAAAACCCCATAGGACCCGGGATGTTAAATAAGGCTGGTGTCATTTCTGTGTGAACCCTTCCATACTCTGTAAATCAAAGGACGTTCACAGAGAGACAGCCCGACTGCTGCCTTCGCACCGTTACTCCCCGCTGGGACACTGGTAACAGCCTGCTAATTGGTCTGCCTGCTTCCTGTCTCTTGCCACCTTCAACCTCAACTTCACACTGCCAGAGTTTACTCCCTACAAGAGCAGAGCTGGCCCAGTCACTCCCCTTTGTGAAATGCTTCTTGTTCTCCACTGCCGATTCTTTAATACACAGTTCCTGGGACGTCTGCGTCAGGAAAGCCTGATGTGCACGTGAAATGCAGAGCCCCTGATTCCATGGGTGTCCTATTTTGGGTGCCCTGAAAGCAGAGCCTGAGGCAAGGGTTGAGTACACGTTGCTTACTTGGAAGCTGTTCCCAAGAGGGAGAAGGGAGAGTAAGATAGGGCAGGAGAAAGCCCCCCAGCAGTTTTGAGCCCCTGCTGTAGGCAAATGGGGCTCCATCGTGCTGGGGCCTTGCAGGGACCCACAGAATGCACCTCAGAAGTGTCCCTCCCAACGCGGGAGGCTGGGGTGTTTATCCACTGACCCGCTTCTCCACTGTTGAAGGTTGCCCCTGGGGACACAAGTTGAGGGCCCTGGTGGCTTTCAAAAGGCAGGGAGACCTGGGAGTCCTTGAGGTGTTGCCCTGTGAGCATGCCCGGGGGCTGTCCCGCCTCAGCTGCGATCAGAGGGGGGCCAAGGGGACGTGGTGTGGTGCTGTACTTATAACAGGTTCTCCGGATGGTTCTTTGGCACATGGAAGGTAGAGAACCTCAGGCTGACGGGATGAATTCCAAAGTCCTCGGCATGACATTCATACGGTAACCTTCACAACAGGATCCCTGGCTTAGCCTTCCTGTCCTCTCCTCCCCACAACACTTGTGCCCCTACACAGACATTGGATGTTTCCTTGCTCATGCTTAAAATATCATCACACCTCCTCCTGCCACTGCCCTGTTTATCCATTCCCTTTAGAGCAAAACTCTTTCTTTGAAAACAGCTTTATAAACGAGAAATAGAATCCGTACATCATACAGTGAACTGTGCGTATTTAAAGCGTTACAACTTGGTAAGTTTTAACACGTGTATACATTATGGTGTATCATCTCCACAATCAAGCTAATGAGCACATCTGTCGCCCCCAGAGTTCCCTGGTACCCCTTGGTAATCCCACCCTCCCTCCTTCTCCCGCCCCCAGGCAACAGCCCGTCCGCTTTCAGTCACTACAGATTACTCTGCATTTTCTAGAATTTTTATATAAAAGGAATCCTGCATGTACTACGTACTCTTTTTGGCCTGACTTCTTTCACTCAGCAGAAGTGAGGTTCGCCGTGTTGTGTGATTAAGGGTTTTATTCCTTTTCATTGCTGAGGAGTGGTCCATTGCGGGGCGCGCCCGCATTTGTCTGTTCAACTCTGAGAGTCCCTGTCACAGCTGCTCCTCCCACCTTGTCTTTCAGCCTCGCCCCCGTCGGGCCTTCGCCCCCACCTCTACGTGGATCCCTCCTCAGCAAGGGCACCAATCTCTGGGATGCAGAAGCTTCCTTGTTAGTCTGGGACAATTTGGATTTACTCCTATTGTCCTGGTGTCATCACTCATAAAACCCACTTTCCATCCTCTAAAGTGTCCTGGTTTGGACAATAAATTGTAGGGTCCAGCAGGTCGCCAGATCCGCTGGGAGAGGCACAAGTCCTCAGCTGGGGCTTGGTAGCGTTTGTGCAGCGGGTTACCCCCCTTCTGTAGACTTCCTTCTGGGCTTCCGGGCCCTGCGCTTGCCTGGTTTCCTTCCTGCATCCGGCTCTCACAGCTGCAGCGCCTGGGTCCTTGCCGTTCCTCTGCTTAGGCTGCCCCAGGGCTCAATCCCAGGCCTCTGGATCTCCCCGTGCCCTCCACTAGGTGGGCTCAGCCAGGCCCAAGGCCCAAAATACCATCTTCCTGTTGATGACTCCTGATTATTTTAATCTCCAACCCTGAACTCTCCAGCAAGCCAAGTGATGGTGAGACCTCTCTTCTGCGATATCAAACAGGTATCTCAACCTTAACATGCCCCAGACAGGATTCTTTTTTTTCCCTTTAAGATTTATTTACTTAGGGGATGCCTGGTGGCTCAGTCGGTTAAGTGTCTGCCTTTGGCTCAGGTCATGATCTCGGGGTCCTGGGATTTAGCCCCACATCAGGCTCCCTGCTCAGTGAGGAATCTGCTTCTCCCTCTGCCCCTCCCCCTGCTTGTGCTCTTTCTCTCTCAAATAAATAAAATAAAATCTTTGGTTTTTTTTTAATTTATTTGACAGAGAGAGCACAAGTAGGCAGAGTGGCAGGCAGAGGGAGAGGGAGAAGCAGACTTCCCTGCTGAGCAGGGAGCCCGATGCGGGACTCAATCCCAGGACCCTGGGATCACGACCTGAGCCGAAGGCAGACGCTCAACCAACTGAGCCACCCAGGCACCCTAAAATAAAATCTTAAAAAAAGGATTTATTTTATTTATTTTAGAGAGAGACAGAGAGAGAGAGAGCATGGGAGCAGGCAAGGGGCAGAAGGAAAAGGAGAGAGAGAATCTCAAGCAGACTTCCCACTGAGCGTGGAGCCAAACGCGGGACTCGATCCCAGGACCCTGAGATCATGACCTGAGCTGAAATTGAGTCGGACTCCTAGTAGACTGCACCACCCAGGCGCCCCATCCTAAATAGAACTCTTGATCCACTTTTCTCAAACCTGGTCTTTGCCCATCTTAAAAATGGTCCCACCATTCAACTGGGTGCCCCAACCTAGGAGTCCTCCTTGATTCCTCTTGTTCTCTCACTTAAGAATCCTGTCTGTCAGAAGTCTGTAGGGGCTACATCCAAAACCCCTCCCGAATCTCTGACCCCTTGTCCCTGAATGCGCTGCTGCCCGTCAGCCCGGGGGGCCCCATCTCTCCCTGAGACAATGACCAGAGCCTCCTAATCGGCCTCCGCTTCCTCTCTGCACTGTCAGTTGCTCCCACCCCACACGAACACACTTTCTTGTCTACACGGCAGCCCAGTCTTTTTTTTTTTTTTAAACAACATTATTAGCTCATGGCAGCCCCCTCCTTAAAACTGCCCAGCAATTTCTCACGACACTGAGAATAAATTCCAGCTCCCTTCAGTGGCCAATGAGGCCCATGTGATCCAGCCCCTGCTGACCTCTCTGACCCCGGCTCCTATCACATTCCCCCTCTTGCCCCCCTCCCCACACACCGGTCTGGTTGCCGCTCCGTGGTCCTGCAAAGCTCATGGCCACCCTGGGACCTGGGCTGGACTGTTCTGCTCCAGGCACCTGCAAGATTGGCTCCTCCTTGTCTTCCAAGACATCTTCCTGACCCTCTCTCGAGCCCCTGACTCATCCGGTCCCCTCTCTCTCTCATTGCCCTGTTCGATTCCCTTCCCATCTCTGGAATAATCTTGTTGATCAGCTTTTAACTTAGATCCTGTCTCCCCCACTCAAACTTCAGCCCTCAGACAGTGGAGGCCCTACCAATCTTGTCCAAGGGCCCAGCAGGTGCCTGGCTCATGATTGGCACTCAACCCTTACTCTGGAACTACACGAGCATGAACACAGGTGTTTTTCTCCAGAACGGCACTGCTTTCTGACAGTGTCCTGAGAACAAATCTCATGGGGAAAATGGCAGCCTATTGTTTCATCCCCAGAACAGTGTCTACCTCGCTTTGGCTGCTGATTTGGGTTTGAGATATGGACTCTGAGACCCCAGCGGTGTCCACCTCTCCGTAATCCCCCCCTTAGCCTTCCTGCCGCTGGGTGAATAAGCTCTAACTAAACTTCTAGTTCGCCGAGTTCCAGCCACAGAGGTTTCCGTCGCAATTTCGAATGAGAAGCATCAAGCCTGTGTTACACCACGGGAACCCGGCTTCAATCATCCAATTGCAAGATGGCAGGCTACTATTTGCCGACTGTCAGAAAAGTCGATTCTCAGAGCTCTCTTTTACATGTTTATATGGATGTGTTCTCTGTTTAGCGGAGGCACAGAGCGGGCGCGTGCTGTGAATTAATCAGGAAATAGCTATTCGAGAAGGACAGCGCGGGCAGCATCAATGACTCGTTCTGCACAATTTCCACCATGGAAACATCTGGCGAGACAGAAACACTCATTTCAAGAGGTGCTGGGGGTGCTGGGGAGGGCTTCCGGTCCAGCGCAGTCACGAGGTGGGCACCCTGGCTCTCCTAATGAGATGTCTGGCTCCCGATGTGTTTTTGTCTGCATTCCACGGACAGCCTGGGGCACCGCCTGACCTCTAGCCGTCTGCCGCCCGGCTCCCTCCAAGAAGTCTGGCGGAGAAGGGACAGAAGGAGGGACGCAGGGGGCCAGGCAGGTGGGAGACAGATGTGCAAGGGTGGAACCTCAGGGTGTGGTGGGGGGCGTGGGGAGCCGAGAGGCTCGGGTCCTGCCTGATGGTGCTTAAATCTGAAAAGTTAACAACACTCTGAAGGCCAAACAGGCCATATCTGTAGGCAGATTTGGCCCAAGGATCACCGGAGGGGCGTCCCTGGTTGGGAAACAAATAGTAGTCACTTCACCGGGAATTCCAAGTATGAAAAAAAAAAAAGGCCGCATCATGTCACCCAGCCTTGGAGCAACTCCACAAGGGCCCATCTTGCAGATGAAAACACTGAGGCTCAGCCTTCCCCGAGGCTGTGCAGCTGGTGTGCAGGGAGCCACTCTGACTGGCATCTCCCTTTGGGTCAAGCTAGACCCCGAGAAGGTCTGGCCACGGGCAGAATCACCTGCCCTGGGCGGACCTCTGACCCCATTTCTAGTTTTCACTAAG